AAAAAGTGTCCGGAACCCCGTAAGTTTCTTGATTTCACAATTAAGTCAACACTGCTATGGATTTTTCAATGTTTGTGCTGTTGACAAAACAACTCTTGTTATTGATTATATTCTTAAGTGCACAAACGTGGCTCCTCTAACAACATTTTTTTTGTGCAATTTGTTTCTCAGTGGTTATATTGCTCCAGAGTACTCAGAGAATAAGGTGTTCTCCACGAAATCCGATGTTTATAGCTATGGAGTCGTATTGCTTGAGATAGTAAGTGGACAAAGAATTTCCAAATTATACCTATCCGAGGACTGTTGGAGGAATCTTATAGCACAAGTAAGTTGTATAAGATTTAATTATGAAGTTGTAATCTACACAGTTTAATTATATCTCATGTATAATTTGTATGTATATATCTCAGGCTTGGAAATTATGGGTTGAGGGTAAGGCACTTGAGTTGATGGACCCAACACTGATGGATACATGCAATCCACACGAAGTGTTGAAGTGTATTAACATTGGACTCCAATGCGTAAACAACCAAGCTGATAAACGACCTCCCATGTCAAATGTGATTTTGATGCTTGGAAGTGAACCCGACACCCTGCCAAATCCAACAGATCCAACTGATCAAGACTCGCAAAAGGATCATGCCATTGCCTCTTCCTCTGGTTTGCCTAAAGAGGAACCACAATTTAGCAAAAACATGATGGATATTACTGTAGTACACCCTCGTTGACACTTAATTTATTTCTTTTAACCATATATGAACTTGATTTTAGTGTGAGCTTTCCAGTCAGATAAGAGTATTCATCGTTAAATCAATTCTTAAATACTATCTGAAATCCAGGTCAATATATATTTTTTAGAATGGCCAAGTTAACTATAAAGAAAAAAACAAAGAACAATATCCAAGGAGAACAATATTTTACAGAGGACTATCAATCAATCTGCATCGGTAGAGAAATCTACTTGTTGAAATATTTATTGTACTTACAAACTTCTCATTGAGAATACATACAGATCAAGTCTGAAATGTTTTATTTCTTGGAGGTTTAGTTTATAGATATATTGGGAGTGTATTTGTATGAGAATTGTTGAGAGGGACTTAATGCGTCATTTGTTCAGAACTTTTGGGTTTTGGCTCTTTTATTACAAACTTCCACGTTGAAGGAAAAACAGTTTTACCTGATTGCTTGTGGATCGGTGTTTACTTGTGTGTGTGTTGTTCAGTCATAACAACAAGATACAACACACTACATATCTGTTTTCGCTCTACTCTCTTAGTCATATGGATTCTTCTTTGTTTAGAGTTTTAGAGAAAAGTTATTCATGTGTAATCTTCTTCTTTGTTTTTGAATATAGTTGAGGGTAGAATAGGGGAGTGTTTTGTAGTGAGGTTAATATGTAGAGCGTGTAAGCAAAATTCATTAATCGTACGGTAAGTTGATAATTATTACTCCCTTTATCCAATATTAATAGTCTATCTTTCATTTTTCGTTTTTTCCAAAATAATAACATATTTCTAAAAATAAATATCCCTTTTACTAAAATATCTCTCATTATTAGTTAACCTACCATTAAATTAAATGCAACAAAAGGGTAAAATTGTCATTTAATTTAATAAAGTTTGGTAATTAATGTTCTCTTAATCTATGTATTTTTTTTTTATCTATGGGCAATAATTTCGGGTCAGAGTGAGTATAAAATAATCAAAACAAATGAATGATAGTACGATAAATAATCTTATATAGTTACATGAATATGAAGGGTCTCCTAGCATTCTTAGCAACAAAATTCTTCAACAACTGTTCATAATCAATACTATCTAATATATCGTTCTCAACAATTATCATTATCAATTCATTAAGTAATTCTTATAACATTGTGGACCTATTAATGACTTTGTATTAGAGATAATTTAGAATAATTAGAAAATATTTCTTGTATCTCTATATGTTAGGCTAGTTTCTTACCTTATTTGTTGTATCTTTATATTATATATATTCATCAATATATAAGATACCTATTCAATGGAAAATACTCTTACATGGTATCAACCATAATTACGGTCTAACCCTAAAAGTTTCCCCCTCGCCTCCTTCTTCTGCCCCTATCGATCTTTTCTTCCATGCTCGTCGATCATGCCTACAGCAGAGGCTTCTCTTCCTCTTGCCACCATACTTCATCTGCTCATGGTTAAACTCAACTCAACCAACTATCTCTTATGCTTAATCAGGTATTACCACTTCTTTCTTTTCAAAAATTGATTGATCATGTCGATGGTTCCCTTCTTCCTCCAGCTGCAACCATCGAATTAGAGGGGAAATCTACCTCCAAACGTACATTCTCGACCTGGAAAGAAGCTGATCAAAAAGCTTACCTCATTTTGTAATCCTCTTTTTCTGAGGAAACTATGTATGAGACCATAGGTCTCCAAACCACCAGAGATATTTCTACAGCCCTTAAGTGTGTGTATTGCTATGATTCTTAAGAACGCATGCAAACCCTTCAAGAGCTTCTTCGACAACTAAACAAAGGTACCTCTTTAGTTGCAGAATTTGGATGCAAGTTCAAAGCTAACCTCATAATACCTAAATATAAGTGACTTGATCCATAAAGTCGAAGGCTTTAAACCTTCGCATGGCTTAATGAAGCCCAACACCAAAGATAAACTGCAAAGGTCAAAATCACTCCAAAATATCTTTAAAAACTTCTTAATACCTTAAGACCTTAGTCCAACCTTCCAGATCTGATTCAAAGGGACTTCTTAAGTCATAAAGTCCCTGACTTTATGACATGGCGTGACTTAATGGGACCAAAATCAAAACCCTAAGTCTGAAGCTTCACAAAAGACTACCAAATCATGCATGAAAGGTTTATACTCATCAAGATCCAAATTTATAACTCCATAACCCCAACAAGGGCCATATATGAAGCTCAAAGGTTCTGGAGTAACTTCTACTCACAAGAACCACAACAAGGGACCAAAATCATGACAAAGTGCCACCTAGCTAGATCTACAAGAAAGATTCGTCAAGGTTGAGATTTTATACATCTAGAAGTTAGATCCAGGTGAACAAAGTCTGGATCAAAATTCTCCAAGTCAAGCAATGACTCTTCAAGAAGTTCCTTCTTCCTCATCAAGCACCAAAAACACACATAAATGACTTTAAAGCTCTATAATCACTCAAATGGGGGCTAAGGATCGATTTATAGGGTTTAGAGGGATGGAGGCTAAAGAAATTAGGGTTAGCTTATGAGATAAGAAGCTTTAATAGGGTTCAAGACCCTAAATTAGGGTTTGGGTCTGATTGGAGTACACCCAGCATACTCCGTAGAGCACCAGCAACCATCCTGATCAGTACGCACAACGTACGCCCTGCATGCTACCCTTTTCACTAGTATGTTACGTGTACACCTGTGTATGCCCCGCATACTGCCCTTTTCACTAGTACGCTATGCGTACACCTGTGTATGCCCCGCGTACCCGGCTAAACCCTAAAGCCACCAAACTTCTGAAGGCCATAACTTCTTCGTTATAAGTTTGTTTCCAACGAACTTTATATCCAAGAAAAGGTGAAGAGAAGCCCTACAATTCTATCAACTTACCTCTGCATAGGAACTTTCCGAACAAAAACCCAAAATTCATAAATGACCGAATTATCAAATTACGATTATACCCTTGGGCTCTGAAACACAAACGAACACCCGAATCACTTAGACTATAACACCCACATCCAAAAAGGGCCTAATCCTTTCCTCCGCAAGGCCTAAAGCATTATGATGAACGATGACCAGGCCACAGCCCCGAATAATGAAACGATTTGAAACCTAGTGTTACAGAACAGATTAATTGATGTTCTATCAATCATCAATTATAAAGCAATTCTATCATCCAATGCTTGAAGATCCATAGCCTATCACTAACATGTTGTTCTATCATAAACATAATAGGAATAATAGTTTGGGTAATTTGGGGTTTATTTTCTTGCTCCGGCAGATCATACACATCGCATCCTTCATTGTTTACTTTTGAAAACAATTTTTGAAAATCTGTTTAAAAACTTTTGCAGTTCCCTAGTTTGAGTCTGGATTCACACGAATGCTCATCCAATTCTCTCAAACCAAGGCTTTGATACCGACTTGTAACACTTAAAAATCACAATAATTTAAAATTTTTAAAATCAACCATCCATCAACATTGTTTACAAAAAGTCATTGTTTCAAAAGCATTATTTCAAATCAGAGTTTTCCCCAAGACCCAGTGACATAAAATTGGAAGTTGTGTACGATCATGCCTTTGCCTTTCCACGATCCTCTAAAATACCTAAAACAATAAACTAAAAACAGTAAGCCAAAGCTTAGTGGGTTCCTCCAAAGTACCACCACACAAACATATAATCAAATAGATAATGTGTAACACCGTAAATTTCAAAACAATTTTTCGCATTTTATAAAAACATAATTCATTCATTATCCATAAAAACATCATTGTTTGAAACTCAAATTCATAGTATATAACAATCGCAAGATCTCATAACATAAAAATCCCGTGTGTGTACTGATCAGGCCGGTGCCTTCCCGCGATCCTCAGTAGTACCTGAAACAAATAACACCAAACACTGTAAGCACAAAGCTTAGTGAGTTTCCCCAAAATACCACATATAACACATATTAGCCACTCGAGGCTATAACTCTATGGCTCCGTGCACCCAAACTCTATGAACCCTCGGGTTCTAACCCTGTAAACATGCACATCATAAATCACATATAATAATGCAGTGCAACACATAACACATATATAGCATACAACACAACATCACATAACTCTAGTTACCTAGTCAAGGTAAAGTATAGTGAGAAGACTCACCTCGCGTATCTCGGTAACTCGTAAATCCCTGAAATCACTAGTGCTTGATCTCCCAAGCTATAGTCCTCCTATAACACAAATACATCTCTAATTAACACTTTCCTAACTAGGGTTGACTAACCCTATCAAGTCAACACCGGTCAACTCTAGTCAATGGTCAATGGTCAACCCAACTCGCCGAGTCTGGCGTGGACTCGCCGAGTCCCTACGGGGACCCGATTCCTCTGAATCCCTTCCGACTCACCGAGTCACTCACCTAACTCGGTTACTCAACCACTGGTTCGAAAACACGGAACAACCCACTCTAACTCGTCGAGTCTGCTAATGGACTCGACGAGTGCATTCCATGCACAACCCCAAACGACCTTCTAAGGTCAGACATGTTCCACTAACTCATAGATCCAATCCTCCCAAGCTTATTTATCACGTAAAGTTTATGTCTTGGCGCTCATATCACACCTATTGACTCATAAATTGTGTTTTAACCTCAAAGACAAAGATCCCAAACCAAAACCTCCATCGACTCATATAAAGCTTGGACAAAGAGGCACTCTGGACCTCCAAGGGTCCAGATCCAGAACCTAACTCGCTTAAGCGACCAAGGGAGCACTAGATCTAGTCACAAAAGGGCTCAATAAGCCCTAAATCAACATGAAAATCACCTCAACAGAAAATGGTTCGAAAATAGTACCTCAAACGTGATGTTCTAGACCTCAGAACTTCAGGAAGTTAACCCTCTTGCTTCCTCTTGGCTATAGCTTCCTTTCCCTTGCTAGACAACACCTCCAAGGTTAACAATGGCTCCTTCTCTCACTCCAAACACTCAAGCTCACTAGGGTTTCGCTCTGGGGGCTGGTGAGCAAAAA